TTTAAAAGTTTCTTCCTCATAGCAGCTGCCTAAAATCGATGTTTTTCGACTTCTGTTGCGCATTGATCATACAAATTAGTGGTAATTTGAATATTATTGAAAATTAAGTTTTTCATTTCTCCGTTCCTGATTTTCATTCAGTTGAGCCCGATTCAACTGAACATGTTTTGCTGAAAAACGGAAATAATATAAAATAAATGAATAACAATTAAACCTGTTTGATACCTGCAAGCAGTATAACAAACGAAAACTAAAAAGACAAAAAATAGGAACTCTTATTTATTTCGTGCGTGGTTGATAACCACAAGAAATAACAGTTGAAGATTTGGCACAAGACTACGAGCAGTATCTTCTTTCCGGAGAAATCTATCGTAAGACTCACTTCTTTTTCGTGCGCCTCACTCTAAGAGTTCCGAGCGGCGCACTAACATCAATTTTATTTTTTCGGTGACTTTTTGTCACTCGCGCAACGGATTTCGCCAAAAAAAAAAGGACTGCTCTTAGTCTTGTCACCTGCACTTGAAGGCAATAACGTATCTTATAGTATATTACCTATGACAACTGTAGCGCTACTCATGGAGAGAGAGTTTTCAGTAACAATCTAACTTAATTCACCGTCAAAATAGAAGAAAGTTGAAGAAAATACCACAACAATACTAAAAAAAACACGCCAGTGTTCCAGACTGCCATTATTTTGTTCGTCATATCAAGTAGAAAAAGAAAAACATTTGGTGACCCGTGCCTTAGTGTTCATGGTCAAGAGTTCAAGTGATAAAGACATTTGTCGTAAGTCTTTTACAGTATTGCACAAAAAGTCCTTCTTTCCCTTTTCTAGCGACCAAAATTTTATTTCTGGCGAAAATTTTCTCAAATGTATCAATTAAATATTTGTTTACTTTATTCATTATTCACTGATCCACAGGTTTCTGTTCGGAAAGGCAAGTCAAAAAATGCTTGGTTCCAGTGATTGCTGGGGTTAGGTTATGAAGTTAAATTTTCTTCGTCTTCCATTCAAGAGACTCCTCAAGATTCTTGAACCAGCTTCGCAAAGACTGATCAATTCTGAGAACCACAAGATAACTGAAGCACAACACCACCGTGATTAAAAGGAACGAGACACCTTCAAACACAAATCGAGGCGCAAAAATCTTCCACACCATAAGATGACGGCGGTGGACCGCAGCAGAACAACAAGTAGCCAGGAGCTGTAAATAAATAAATAAATAAATAAATAAATAAATAAATAAATAAATCAGAAAACAAATAGACAGTAAATAAATCAATTCATAGATAAGGAAATGAAAATTAACCCTTTGAACCATAAGAGTGACTGCCATATAATTTCTCCACTGATTACACCTAAAAAAGCTCTTGATTGTTCAACAAATTTTCCTTGTGCGCACTGACGATAGGGTGTTTAGGGTCACACTGGTAAAAAATTACAAATCTTTCGTGACGCTGTTCTTTACGCCTAAAAATACAACCCTTTTGCTAAACCCTACAGTTAAACGTATGACTGAGTTCATTTTTATATCTACACTTTTCTCAGTGTTGTTGCTTCAGAATCAAATATCAAGTAGTTTCATTTTCTTTTTATTTTCTCACCATAAAAAGTCTTATTTACAAGAACATAAATACGATAAGCTGTAATTGTTGCAGTTCGTTTTACCGTTGGTATCAGGTATGCTCAGTATCTGAGCAACTAAGCACTTACCCCTCCCCTAAGCCAACATTAAACCCTAACTTGTTATCAGTCGACTGTTGTTGGGTCAAGGGAGGGGTAGGTGTGCAGTTGCTGAGATACTGACACTGCTCCAACCGTTCGATCAAACTGGCGAAAAACTGTGCAACAAAAGTTTTGAGTTCTAAGTTAAAACTAACCTTGAGGCCGTGGAGAGTCTGGTAAGTGACTAAGAGCCGAAACATCCGAGTTCTTAACAGTTCAGGACTTTCAATCCAATCAAACTCTCCTTTGCTTGATTGAGGGCTATTTTTGCTGCGAGTTCCTAGGAGCCTGTTTTGTATTTGAGGCCAAAAGAGAAGGAGTGGAAGACCCAAGGCGAAAAGGACTGGACCAGAGAAAGTATTCAGCAGTATAAGGAGACCTACAATAAGAATAGAAAGAAGTTATCCATAAAAGAGAGGAAAACTCACAAACACAGCAAACAATACTGTCGCCCAAAATAACAGCATCATTGATTCGTCTCATTTTACACGTCGGCACTAAAATTTTCGTAAAACTTTGCGATTGGGACACGCTAAAGTGGGCCTTGCCGTCAAGAAGAGGCAGTCGTTGTGCAGAAGTTAAAACGTACGAACCGTCCGCCGTGAAAAAAAACAAACAAACAAAAGACAAGAAACGGCTCCGTTGTAGGGAAGCGGCGGTTAATACAGGTTTCATTTTGCTTTACGCGAGAAAGAGACGATTTCAATTTAGTTCACTAATTTTTCTGGCGCCGAATGAAATCAAAATGAGCTAAGTTTTGAGGTTTATGCTTCACCTGGTATCACAATATTTCCCATGTCTCCTGGGAAGCCAACAAAAGCAGCTTCAAAGCGGATGGACGGAATGGTGGCCTGGTGACCAGTGCAATAGAAGTAATATGACGACATGAAATACCACAGTACTACCACGCTGAATGAGGTGTCTACAAAGAGAGAAATTTGTGAGAACTAGTTGATCAGACCGTTCTCTCCGTAAATGAAACCGGTCAGTTTTCAGAACTCGTAGAAGTTGTTCTCACCGAGTTTACCCTGTCTTTTGAGCAAGGCTAGTCTACGTTCCCTACGTTTAGTCCCTCAGTGGGACTAAAAGACTTATCGCGAACTGCACAGGGGTGTTGGGGAAATAATAATCAGCTATTCGTCAGAGATTGAAGACACACGAGGTAGAATACTGCTCAAAAGTAAGTTGACAGTCTCGACTCGTTCTTCCTTGATTCCCAACTTCTCGTGTCACGAACCGAGTTTCGAGGGTCTCGATACTCAACTCGAATGTCTTGAAACTCGACTCGAGCCTCGATACTCGATAACTTCGAGGATTGAGGGACTGTCAACTTACTTTTGAGCGGTACTGTAGAACGACTCACGAGTCCTAGTTTTAGTTAAAGCGAGTTGACGTTCGCTTTCCGTTTACATCAACAAGGCTCAGTTCTCTCTTGCATTTTGGCTAGACCTAGAAAGTGGAAAGTGGCCGATAGCGGTTGTCAGTCGTTGTTGATTACATCAATTACTTCACTGTTCTGATGGGTTTATAAGAGTGAGAGTTTTAGCAGAGTTAAATCGTCAGCATTCATCTACTGCTCCCCCTAAATTCAATAAACTCACAGCAAACATTTGCTAACGGCAGAACAACTTTGCTTATAACTTGCCCAAAAATTATACATACACCCCGTAGCACTTACCGGAGTTTCCACGAGCACTATCGCCAGGTTCTGCATCATGGCTCAATCCGTGAATCTCCAACAGCAAAAAGATGTGGAAAAAGATCAGAGAAATAGACAAAGCCATTCCGTTGCCCAACAACATCATTAAAGGCAATCCAACGGAAACAAATAGAACCAGTATTGCCGACGAAAAAACGGTTCCAAGACCATACACCATGGGCGTGTTTGTATCGTCCTCACACTGTTCTCCCGCCAAGACTTTCTTTCCATCCAATCTCTTCCAATTCTGTCTCACTTCACGGACCAGAGCATGGATAATTCTGGAATTATCACCAGTCTCTTGCAAGGATTTCACTCCTTCGTTGAGAGAGTTCCTTCCGTTTTTAAAGACAGTGTAGATATATAGGGGTGAGTACAAAACGCATGCAATTGTTGCCATACACATAGAGTAGACAATCTGCGGAAAGATTATTTGTTGCCACACCTGCATCTCTGGAAAGACAGTGGCCATCTTCTGTGGAACGATCTGCAGCATCCAGTGAGCGCACATGAAGATGAAAGCCAAGGGAACAGTATACCTCACACTAAGAACAATAAACGTTGTGCCATTTAAATTTCCATGATAACGAAGCCACTGGCGAAGTGAAAAAGGAATTATACCAGTGCATAAAATGGTCAAAATAAATCGATTGCTTTCCAAGTTGGTCTTGTCCGCGGAGGTCGACTGAGGTTTAAGGAAATCTGTTGGCACACAAGACCACTGCTCCTCTCGACAAGCTCGTAACATTATGGCAGTTCTGTTGACAATATCAAATGCTATCCACGCTATAAACAATCTGAGGAAGAATCCAGATATATCGCTCTTTTTGTCCTTTTTGGAAAATCTCCTTAAATGATGTCTTAGAACGAGATTCCTGTTATTGATGGGATAAACTTTCCATATGGCTTGAACACATTTCACTCCAATTAAAGACTGAATGAAAAAGGCAATCAGCTTGTCCTCGTTCACCACAAAACTGTTTGACAATGAAGCCCAGCACTGAAGTAAACATAACACTGCGGCAAAAATGTTGTCTAATGACATTTTTTTTAAAAAACCACTCGCTGTTACTTGGGTGTATTTCAGAACCATCTTTTGAAGAAAAACAAACATTGCCAACAGCAGTGCGCATGCTATATATAGTGGTATTACGATAATGACATTAAAGTCACAGGATGTCGCTGCAGATGCAATAATGAAGCCTATCAGCGGGACTAAAACCAGCAGAGACAATCGGTTTTCACTGAAATTAAGAAGGGCTAAAACAACTAAAGCGACAGCCACAAAAATCACAGAGATACCCGCAAATATAGAGTTCAGATCAAACTTCGCCCACATCGACCGACAGAGAACTTTCGCACCAGACAAATAGTCACTATGAAATTTTTCGGCAGAAGATAATATAACACTGAGATGCTTCAGTTCTTCTCCAGAGGCTTTTCTGAGCATTTCCCCATGTCCCTCAAGGCTGTAAACCAAATCTTTAGCTTCAGAGACCAGTGCAGTTGCATTTTGTAAAATCTTCCCAAGCTCCTCTAACTTGCCACTAGGAATATCTCCCGAGATCGAGGCATACTTTGTGAGATACTTGTGGACTTGCTTGGCATTCAGTTCAAAAGCTGTGTTTCTTTGAAGCAATTCCAGCACTTGCTGTGCAATTATATCATTTTCACTGTTTGCTTGGTGAGAGTGAATGCCTGAGGTACTTCCATGGCAGAACAGCTCAGGTATAATAGTACCCAGGTTTCCAAATGGAATGGGTATACCTAACAGCAGGGAGAGAGTTGGGACCAAGTCTATCTGGGAAACAGTTGCAGTTTTCTCCTGTGTTGGACAAAAATTACAAATTATAAAATTATTTCATGTATACTCATGTGTACAGAAGAAAATTGGAATCCACAACACAAATGGCATTAGGAATAAAATGTTAGTTTGAGGCAGGAAACCTTACAACATGCGAACATTTAGAGAAGTTTTTAGCCCAGACAAACTGTCAAAAGGGCTACAGAGAGAAAAAGTATGCAATACCAATGACATTGAAAACTTCTTAACACTGAATTCAATAAATATGAAATGCCAGTTTAAGTTTGCTCTTTTTAACCTTTTAACCCTTAAGAATGACTAACATTTAATTTCTTCTTACAACATCACCCCTGAATCAAACATGAAGGCCACAAGAATAAATAAAAGAAATGGTTTAAACTAAAGAAGTTCTTGATTTTTAAACAAACTCTTCTTATCAGCACCTTTGGAAATGTATAAAGAACAGTATAGAGAATATGCATACTGATGTTAGGGTAAAATGGGTTAAAGAAATCAACCAAAATCTTCCACTGCCTATACTATTTAACAATTGGTTCATACGTCAGCGTGCGTTCATCAAGATATGAAGCACATGGGAAGTTTGGAGAGCATGAAAGATGCGTAAGAGTTGCTCGAGGCGTAGCCTTGAGCAACTCTAGCTTCTTGAGTGCTCTCCAAACTTCCCAAGTGCTTCATATCTCAATGAACGCACAGCTGACGCATGAACCAATTGTTTTATAAATTTTCAACCTGATGGAAAATTTTTTTTCTAGAGGGATTTGTTTGCTGACATCATGAGCGTGCACAATAGGAATATGAAGCATGCACGCGCAATTAAATTTGATTAGACAAATTTACTAGCTATGTTATATTTTTGATTAAAGAAAAGTGACTAATGAGATTGTACAAAAGGTACTTGGATTTCAATAAGACTATAGTGAAAACAAAATTGAGAATGATTTATTTACATGCATTATGGACTGTATCATCCCTTTTCTTACCTTTTTCATGTTACATGTCAATATAGGTTTGGTTGAATAAACAAAAAGGGCTGCATCCACCTCATCATCACTGTCACCACCATGGTCACCAGTACGGGTCATACCATGGTCACCCATCACAAACAATACTGTTTTGTCATCAAGAGTCTCCATTACAGACCTGTATGGCATAACACAAAAAGTAGTATAAGAATACCTTATATCAATTTGAAATCTATCCAGCCTTTCATTGCATTGAAACAATTTGTATTTTTAGGGAGGCCAACTACTAATTAAAAGATCTATTATGTTGAATAAACAACCAAATTTGGAAAAACTATCACCTGGCACTATCAATAACAAAGTTAACTAGTAGAAAAAATGCTAAATTGGATTTGGCAGTGGACATCCATGAAGTGGCTCTTCTCAAAGACTGTCTCTAATTTGAATTATAACTTGGAGTGCTGGTTTTGTGGAGGGTGGAGAACTGTAATTGGTCTAGAAGAATTTAATCCTTTGTGCAAGTGTGATGATAAGCTCAATCCACAACTGACAACAACTTAATGAATCAAATCTTGGACGCAATGTGAAGAAATGAACCAAAAATTTGACAAATTTTGAATTGTGTAACTTATATTCACATCACAAAAGTTACAACAACAAGGCCCTGAAAATGTGAAATTTGGCAAATTTCCCTTTCGTTACTTTTGCACCATACTATGCATATAAATACATTGCATGGTGTATGTTACTCTAAATATCAGATTACAGATATCCGAGATAAAATCACTACACATAGAAAAGCAATGTTCTCCACAACTTTGAGTACATCAAGTAAGGCCACTTTCCAAACTGGCAAATCTGTCTGTTTAATTTTAAAGGATTTGAGGTGTTTGCTTTCATAAGCAATAAATGCTCCCTACCTCAGGACAGAATCCATCTGTGTGAGTTTAGCTGCCATTTCAGGATGATTGGGACCAAACTTGTGCCCACAATGATCAACTCCGAGAAAGTGACCAATGAGAACATCCCAGTCATTTTCCTTTAATTCTGGAACCAAGTGTTCAATTACACCATTGTCCACAGTATGAAGATCCATGACATTAAATGATGGGAATGGAAAGGACTTGTGAAATGAGTCAGGGAATAGACTACCCCAAGTGTCATCCCCCATGAAAGTTATGTTCTTCTCTAGAGATATCAGCTGTGAGATGATGTTGTCTTCTGTGATATTTGAACTGGCAAAATTACTTCCTGCATCCACAAAAGTAGGTAAACTTCCTGTTGACATGAGAGTAAGGATAAGCTCAAAACTCATGACCCTTTTGTTTGAGAAAAGAATCATTAATTCCCAAATTTTTTTTTAAATTACTTTTTTTTGCCAACATATCAAAAGTATCATTTCAAAACAGCAAATAATAAAGATAAAGCTGGATGTGCAAGAAGTAAAGAACTGCATAAACATCCTTACTTCACAATTTGACTCTACATGTAATTATTCCCAAGATCTCAATAACAACTCAATCTCACTGTCTGATATACTTTTATTACTATGTTAGTTCTTGGAATTTGATTTCAAATCTAATTTCTCCTTACAATATCACCACTGAATCACAAATTAATGCCAGGAGAATAAAGGAAATGATCAAAAACTAAAGAAACCCTTGATTATTAGACAAATTCTCCTTGTCAACACCTCAGTATATGTACAGAGAATAGTATGGAGAATATGAACACTGATGTTAAGGACTGTAAAGGGTTAACTACATGTATAGCTGCAGAGACACAGTGACCTTATGGTCAGTTTATTGAACTTCAGGTCAAGAGGTCTGGGTTCAAGTGTTGTGTTCTTGAACAAAACACTTTCCTTTCACAGTGCCTCTCTCCATCCAGGAATATAAATGAATACTGGCAAACTGTTGGGGAAGCATGACGAAATGCTGAGGGGCCCATCCAGTGGGGAGTAGTAATACTCCTTGTCCCTTCATGCTACATTAAGAAACTGGAATAAGCCCTGTTTGCAGAAATTGGCTCGAATACAAACTTAAACTTTTATTCCAAGGACGTGTAATGCTATCCACTGGATAAATCTCTAACCGGTGGATAGCACAGTACATTTTGTTAACACTCATCCACTGGATAGCTTTTAACCTTTTAATTCCCAAGATCTCATTAGTAATTCTCCTTACTCTCTCCCATACAGTTCTTGTGATGTTAGTTTGGAGAATTTGTTTTTGGATCAACTAATAATACCCTAATTAATATTATTCTTTATTCTCATCACTTGTCTGCTTGATAATGTATTAATATTATAAGGAGAAATTCTGTCTTGGTCACTCATGGGTGTTAAAGGGTTAATCTGATGGATAGCGTTATCTCCCCTTTGAACAGCTGGACCCAGCAGGTAAGGAGAAATTGCAAATTGGTCACATTCTTTGAAGTTGTTAGTGTGGAAAAGCTGTATACATCATATCTATTGCTTTTTGGAACACTACACGAATCAGGTGCAAAGAATAACTTACCAGTAGTGAGCGCCTTTAATCGCTGCATAGTGGTGGTTGGTGGATCAGCCACAAATTTGAACAGAGCTCCATGTTGAGGAGAGCTCGCTAACACTTCATGGATGACTTTTAATTTATTCTGGTAAGGCAACGCATTGTCATCGTCCAGGCTTGAGTTGTACAGTGCAAAATCATAGCGTAGAGCATCAATTATTAGTATCACAGCTTTTTCGTGCGTCTTCTTCATCCAACAGCCTTCAGATTTCCGTGCATTCGACAGTTCTTGATCAGACGACAACAGAATGACTTCGGGAGCTTCTGAACAGTCACTCAGGTCATTGATGACCAGCCGATTTAAAAGAAAACCGCGAGTGAAAAGGAATATTCCAACACCATACAGAAATGAAATGAAACAAAACAAAACTAGAAGTTTGAAACCGTAAGCCATGCCGTGACTGTATTGATTCAAGATCGAGAAACACTTCACAACTTGTCCGCCATACTGCTTAGAGCGTGGCTGCTAAGCTCTTTCCCAGTCCCTCCTACTCACTTCCGCTTCGTCTCGCGATAACGAGGCCAGATATTTTAAATATGGCGTCCGAACGAGACGTCGAACCTGACTCTCCCGTCATACCTTCTAATTCAATTATTCCACAAACCATTTTAGAGGAGTTATGCAGGTAGGCTCAAAAAGATGTTATTATCCTGCTTTGATGTCCTGTTGTTACCATCAACGACTTTATTCTTTCCTTCAAAAGCCGTTTCTTAATCAACATACCGGAAGAAGAAAGGAAAGATGTCGTTCGGTTGTGCTTTCAGATTGAGACAGCGCATTGGTTTTACGTCGACTTCTACCGACAGGAGCGACCAGATCTCCCAACCTGTGGTCTTAAGGATTTTACGAGAATAAATATCCTTTTGTTAACTGTTGTTGTCACAATTAATGTTATTTTTGAACTTGATATTTGTATTTCTTCCAAGGAGCTTTCGATATTCAGTTTTTTGGGGGGTTATGGGTCATCGCTGCCTTTTTCGATTTCGAAACAAGATCTAAACAGTGCTCCACTATTGAATATCCAACAAATATGTCCCACAGGTCTCGCCTGATCATTTGAAAATTCGTATAAACAGTTCGCAGTGGCAGACACTGTCCTCTTTACTGAAAAGAGCCAGATTTAATACAGGTAGTTTGTACTGTTTTATCATAACAAGCTTATTGTGAACTAATTTTCCAACTTGTACCTTAACATGGTTACTTTTTGAACAGTTTCCATTTCTCAATAAAACTGGGGAAAATATTGACAAAATTTTTGAGAACTGGAAGAAGTACAAGTACAGTGTTCCTGTCTATGGAGCAATATTGTTGAATCAAAGCCTGGACAAGGTAACATTTATTTTTGTTAATTGTAAATTATAAAAATCATCACAATGCCACTGTAACTCACTCTGCCTGAAGTCCTTTCTTGTTTCCTGATGATTTTCTTTTTCATACTCATCATACTTAAGTATCATGATTTTATTTAACAAGTGAACAAAAGTGGCATTCCACACATTACAGTTTACACTTATTATAACACAAGACAAAGAAACAATTTAATCATAATGACTTTAAATAATATGCTACTACCAACCCTGATTTAAGTAATAAACTCAGTTGAATAGTTACTTGTAAGAAAATTTTATGGAAAAAAAACTTTTTCTTAATGTTAGATGGAGTTAACTTAATTTTAAAATTGAAACTTAAGATTACTGTGAAGTGCCTGTAGCATCACTAAGTTCACTTTTTTCTTTTTCTCCAAGTGTGTGTTAGTGCAGTCATTCTCGTCAAAAAGTTGGGGTTTTCCTAAAGGAAAGGTTAATAAGGATGAATCAGGATTTGATTGTGCTGTTAGAGAGGTGAGTAAACCTGTCAAGCATGATGTTCATTGGCCATCAGTAATTCATACCAAAGCATTGAGTAATCCATTTCTTTATGATAATTTTTGAACAATGTTTCCACAGGTATTAGAGGAGACTGGATTTGAGATGAGATTTTATGCAGACCCAGACACTTATTTTGAACACAACTTCCAGGATCATCAGGTGCAAAGTCATATGAAAAGCTTTTTTAGATGTTATTGTAGTAATTGTGACTGTATGCAAGATGAAGCAAGTCAATGCATGCAGTAAAACACACAATGGATCAGTATCTTTCCTCTCTAATGAATTGTAGAAAACTATGTTCTGTAGAACTACAGTCTGCCTACTGTCTCTATCTTACCATTCAACTGTAAGTGCATTAATTAGTCAATCTGTCGGTGATTTATTCAGTTGGGCAGTGAGTCAGCTAGTCATTCAGAAGGCAGACAGATAGTAAGTCAGTGTGTCACTCAGACAAAGTTAGACAATGAGGCATCAAATCAGACAGTTAATCAGACAATCAATTATATTATCATTTAGTCACACTGTGGCCTCCTTTCAAACTTTACAGATTAGATTGTATGTTGTCCCTGGAGTCCCTGAGAAAACAGTGTTCCAGCCACTCACAAGAGGAGAGATTAAGGTGAAAATATATTAACCTCATTTAAAGTTTTTTACGTACCCTGTGTTCAAGACTGACATGCAAGTTTGCAGTTCTATGCAGCAGTCTGAGGAAACCTCTGCAATGTGTTCCCTAGTGAATCTTCTTTAAATTATGACTTAACTGTGTTGTGATTTATGCTTACAATGTTCAAGGAGCTTAGTGAATACATGTAAGTATTTTATTTCCTTTGCTTTAGAACATACAGTGGTTTTACATAGACAATCTTCCCGCTCACAAGAAAGATACCGTTTGCCGAGAAAACATGGGACTAAATCCAAGTGCTTTCTACATGGTTATTCCGTTTGTAAAGTAAGGCATGATAAACAATGGATTTTTCCTCCTTACAGTTACTAGTTGAAATTATAACTCAATCAACCCGGGAAAAAAATTGTATTCGTATTCTGTCAAGTTCTCTTGTTTTAAATGTCTTGACTTGGATCCGTTTAAAGTTGATACCAGGAAAAAGAAAGCCAGGAACCCATTTCCTGAAAACAGACCCGGAAGGCAGATTTTTGTTTGCCATGTTTCTTTCATTTTTGAGATAAACATGTCAGGAAAAGAAACAGGATGGACTGGTGTTTGAGCGAAGACCAGCATTGTTATTCCGTGGTATTAGATCTAGGAATATTACATCGGGCCGTAAAGTTATTGGGGCTTCAGGGAAACGGGTCCTTAATCATACTTACCTCCTATCAGTTGTTCTTAGTTTGATTAAAGCGCGAAAGGTTAATCGTGAAGGTCAACACACCCCAGGAGACTTTCCTTTTCCTTTCAGGCTCCCACAGAAATAATGAGCGCTTAATGGCTCGTAAGGACAAGGCTCTCAGTCAATGGAAACGAGCAGAAAAGTAGGCACCCATAAAATGGGTGACAATCCATAAGCCCCTTTCGCTTTATTTTTCACTCTCTTCCATCGACTGAGGGCCTTAAACAGGCTTTCTAATGGGGGTTAGCAATAGTATAATAAACCGTGGTGGGATACACAGTGGAATAAAGGAGTGTTTCGGGAATTTTTAAAAGGGAAGATACCTTATTAACACGTGTATTTGCTAGGAAATCCACAGGTGCAAATCTTAAGTATTGTTAATTGAGGATTTCAAATTATTCCCACAGGAACCTGCGGAAATGGATATCGGCGCGACTTAAAGAAGCAAATAAACCCAATCCTGAGCCGGTTGCTTCGGAAACGTCGAGGAATGCTCAACTTCAGAACCTACTCGCTAAGGAAGAGCAACGCTTAGAGCAAGAACAGAAACGCGCTGCTGTGGAAAGAAGAAGAAAGCAACAACAGGAGAAATTCCAATTGCAACACGATCTAAATCACCCCCTGCGATATCATCACATGCAACAGAGAGGAAGTACACCGAAAGGTATTGAAACGTTGGAACCATTGTATCTCGATTGTCACTCGAGTGTTGCGTCACCTCAATGCACATATCACGCAATGTGTTTCGGAAATCGATTTGCATGACATGCAATTTAGAGGTTATGCGAATTTTTCTTAGTCTGCTAGCCTGTCTTTTCTTGGTCTACCGAGCGCCAACGAAAAAAAGAAAAGGCACTAGTCTCCTTAGCGGTGCAATGCACATATCACGCAATGTGTTTCGGAAATCGATTTGCATGACATGCAATTTAGAGGTTATGCGAATTTTTTTAGTCTGCTGGCCTGTCTTTTCTTGGTCTACCGAGCGCCAACGAAAAAAAGAAAAGGCACTAGTGTCCCTAGCGGCCGTTCTTTGGAATGTCACGCAACGCTTGGTGGAGTGTTGCGTGACATTCCAAAGAACAGCCAAGAAGGAGACGATACTTAGTCTTGATCAAAATTACTACTATCCCGCAGTTAAAGTATTTCTTATGTACACATGCACAGACTGTTTTTCACTTTGCATCTAGCCCATAACATCCACAGATGTATATTTCATGTAAAGCGTAAAAGTTCCGTAACCTTGAAAACGTTGATGTGTTATGACATCTCATACTGTTTAAGTTCCTGTTAAGTCCTACTGTCAAGTCCAATGCAAAAGACAATATTTCATTCTCTTCAGATTATCAAGCTTTGCTAGAAGAAAATTTAGCTCACCGTTCTTCTCCAGTTGCGAGAGAAAAGGAGGGTACGCCGGTCTTCAAGATATTACAGCGGCCAACTGACGAGTCATACACTGAGGAACCTTTTAATCCCATACAAAAACTTCTCTCTGGAAGCTTGGGTTTTGGTCCCGTCACAGCACATCAACCCTTTCCTCCTTTGGGCGCTGCCACTCCTGAGAGGGGCGTTTACCCCCCATACCACCACATGCACGGTGTTATAGGTGTCCACAGAGAACATTTATCTCCTGGGACCCCTCTCATGTCATCGCGCTCAAAGCAGCCGGAAACGTCCCCTTCAGAACACAGCTGGGAAGATAAAGAGTTTCAGTTCACATCCCCGGCCTTTTTGAATTTTAAGTTTGACACCAAATCGATTTTAGCCTGTTTACCAACGTAGCTTACAAGAGATTCGTCTCACATCTGACATCTAAATAATTCTGATCGTGCTGAAGAATGATGCTTTGCCAGGATTTGTATTTTAGTCTTGCCTTAACGTTATGCAGATATGCATCTTTTTTTTTTAGTTTTTAATTTTATCAACGTTCAGGAAATTTTAGAGTTATTTCGAAGTGCCCCATATTCAACGTCAACAGCAGCATACCGATCTAAGATCACAGATCAGTCGTGGGGGGGGGGGGGGGGGGGGGGGGCTCTATTTTTAGAACAATTCTTAACAAGTGGCGGGAATCCATTTGTAAAGGAGAACGAACAACAAGTAATAAACAATAAATGGAACGAACGGGTCGGAGAAAGATAATTTTTCATCGCTTTCGTCTTTTATGTTTTATGTTGCTACATCCACTCAAAACAACAATTAGAATTATATATTTGTGACTAAGTTTCTTTTTTTAATCATTTGAGATAAATATTCTCAATAAATTTATGGAAGGACGGGAATAAAGGGGATTTTAACGATTGATGCATGAATCCAGCTCAGAAAAACTATCCCGGCAACAAACTAGAACAGTCCTCATTTGACGTCGAAAAACTGAAACCAAAGTAACTACAACTGCCAATCGGAGTGAAGATTGACATTATCATTAGCCAATTAAAACTCTCAGTAAAAACAAGCAAACTATAATAAACGCGGGAAAACGCGAGAGTCCAAATCAGGATTGACGTTAGTATTGAGTCTGATTGGTTGAGGTGGCACGAGGTTTCTGGACCAATCATAGAGCGTAGTTAAGCAAAACCAAATTAATCGTGGATTTCTTTCAAAACTCAATCGAAAAACAGCTCTATTAAGGCAAAACCATTTAAAGCAACTGATTTCATTGTCACCTATTATACTGTCTACGAATTTCGCTTCACTGGGAGTCACTTTCTACATTGTCATCCGGAACTACCTCAACTGTGGCCTCATCCATTTCCTGAAAAGTTTTTACACTGTCATCTCGTCTTTGAATGGACCTCGTCTCGTCAAACCGACTGTTCGTCTTACTGTTTCTCTGTGACTGATCACCCAAACTATCCAGACAGTCAATCCGTACGTCACGTTCGTTTTCCTTCAGCTTTTTGGCCTCGATTTCTAGAATGGTTGGCTGGGACAACTTTGCTCTTATAGATTTTAGATCCACATCGTCTGGGAGTGTGCGACGCCAGCAGGATGTCCGTTGGAAACAAGAAATCTGTGTTTTCCTGTTGCAAGAGTGAGCGCCCTTGATAAGAAGCTCACGACCGGCTAGTTTCAACGAAAGTTCACTCGGATTGAATCCATTGACGTCCAAGACTAGTTTGAAAACGTCCTCGTCATTTCGTTTCACGAATGGGTACGAAACTGGTCTATGACTGGCACCAATTGTTCTGTGTATTCTTGGAAAATAAGGATCTTGGTTGTGGAAAAAGGCCGTTTCCAACGGATCGTCTTCGAATGGATCCCAGTTGACAAAGTCAAGAAAGTTATTTCTGTGCCACAATCTGCGATAACGAAAGATATTCACACGCATCACGGTGTTTTACAAGGAATTCGATGTCCCGGGAACGGGAAGGAGAGTCCGGAAGTTCCAGAACAACAAGGTGTGAGGAAGAGTTTGTGAGGTCCCTTCTAGATAATAAGAGTTTGAGATTATGGTTTCACAACAATATGCGCTAAGAGAATATTATTTATTGCGACATTCCCTAGTTAGTAAATTTTGAAGACCTTGTGAAAACTTGGTTTTTCAATTTTTCCACCGTAAGCTGTCAAACTCTTAAAAATAACTCGATGGGATCTGGTTGTGGGATGTAACTGCCAAACATCTCGTCAAGGTCAACAAATAAAACCAGTCAATTAAAATCTGAGTGTCCCCAATTGCTTTACCAATTCAGTTGCATAGATAATTATGACTGAGGGTTTCTTAGATACGGTCAGGCAGTCCCGATTAAAGCAATTTGGCAACGAATCTACAGATCTGGTCGGACAGCTAAACAATAAATGATAGGTATTCTCATAAACCTGCCATGCGATTTACCATTGGACGGTGTCGTGGAGAAAAAAAAAAAAAAAAAACTTAAATACTGCACTCACCCAAAATCATCGAAGGGTTGGCTCATTAACCATGAACCTTCACTTCTACCACTTATTACCACGAGTACAAAGAATAGGAGAAGACTCTTCATCCTGAACACTGTTCTTGAAATTGAATGGCTCTTAACTGACATCTGACTGAAGAGACAAATCGAACTTTGAAGAAGAGGTTTTGTTGGTGAACTTATATTACGTCTCAAGACCACGTCGGAAGAAATGTGGTTCTTTCACATTATGCCACGTACATGCTACACCCCCTTGTTCCTCGAAACTTTGATGATCATTTTAGGAACTGAATCACGCAAATTGCATCATCTCTAAAATTCAAAATCGTCATCGATCTAGAAAGGATTGTGCTGAACATCATGCGCCGTTTGTAAGTTTCCAGACCGGTTCTCTAGCGATAGAGGTAGAAAGAGTGCTTTCACTTTCTTCTAATAAAACTGGTTCTGACTAATTGTTGAGGATAAGCTTCCTGGTGGGGGAAAATACGAAGTGGTTAAAAGTTGCATCAGTTTGCCGCCATATTGCGCGTGAACGCATATCCGGCGGAAGTGGGACAATACATATCGCAAAGCCCTGGGTACGAAATCTTCGAAGATATCAATGCGCATGTTTACACGTCAGAAAATCCAAGATGGCGTTCACATTCTACAGTTTACTCGAAGCCTGTCTTTTAGTGGTAAATGCTGTTGCAGTGCTTCACGAGGAGCGATTTCTGGCGAAAAGTAAGTTACATGTGTATATTTTTGTCATTTTTCAGAGAAAGGTTTGTTTGATTTACGGTGAACAATTAGTTTACTGATTATCAGCTTATAAATGACTTCGGAATACTCAGAATAGATCCTATTGAATATCTCAGGGTATCTTTGTCTTCAGTTTCAATGTACTTTCAATCTAGAGATATGGTAATTCATTGGTTCTTACCTCGAAATGCGCGGTTACCTGCCAAGAAAACACGCGGTTTATGCAATTCACTGAGTCAGCGTTCGCTATTAAAGTCACGCTTTGAATTAGGTACTTTTAAGGATCGAATTGGAACATTTAACGTTGTAGAACCTTGGTATACCAACAGGGTTATGTACAGGATCAAGTTTTATTTGCTGCGTACAGCTGGCCACCTCTTGAGTGTACACTGCATAGTGGTGGGGAGAGGTGACAGGTGTTGGGGATATTTGGTGAATTTTATATTTTCTCTGTTCCAGTTGGATGGGGTACGGACCAGCTCTCAGGATTTGGAGACGAAAGAGGAACAAAACACCAAGTTATTAATCTCATACATTCAGTCAGGACTGTTATGAGAAGTAAGTTGAAGGGTTTAAGTTGGTATAACATGGTTAACATTGTAAAGTATTCTCCACCTTCCAGTTGCTTGACAGCTGATTAACTGGGTTTTTAAAGAGAAATGTAGTACTAAGAAAATTGTGCAAAGTGACTTTTAATTATTCTCCATATGAGTAGGAAATAGCTTAAGCCATCAAAATTCAACTAGAATTTTAAATGTCAAAATGCTTCTTAGATCTTTGATTCTTAATGAACAAACTGGCCTTGAATTGGTGCCTCTCTGTCAATTAAATCTGACGTACAAATCAAACTAGCAGTGACAACACAATATTTTTCAGTAAGTATACTTACATCTTAGAAAATAAATATGTATAAATAAATGAAAAGGAATGCATGGTTAGTAAGTGATGATTCAAATTCTCACCCTTGTAAAAGTTATTTCTTCTCTTCTCATTTTTCAGTACCTCTTATTTTGCTTAACTCACTTACAATACTTTTATTACTACTGATGGGATGATCTTACATGGTACAACACGTCTTGAAATACTTGGACTTCGGAGTTGCTGAAGAAATCAGTGGGGCATTGAATCAGAGTATTTTCGAAAGAAAAGAAAACTTCTTCGAGTGAATTCACTTTTCTGAGGATAAGGACTAATTGAATTGTCTACCTTGTTTTATGGAACCTAATATCAACCAGTATAGAGTAGGTAACTGCAAAGCGATGGAGTTTTCAAAAATTATTTTTTCCAAGTACCTTGATAAGAACATTACTATACTATCTTGTGCTCTTATGATATTAAATTGCTAGTCAGAATGTTCACATATTTATGGCAGCATTAACTCAATGCGGTCTGATATCTAATAGCTTTTTTTAAAATAATTAAAAAAATATATTATGGCATGTATATTGTGCATTTTGGCAGATTACTAGAAGTAAAAAGTGTTCTTTACACTACCAACTGTTACATTTGACTTATTGCTTGAACAGTAGTTGTCTGATGCCTATTTCAAAGTTTCCACTCCAGCATAGGGGGGTAAGGGCTTACATTGTACTTCTGACCTACTTTGAGAGGGACTTATTTATCAAGGAGGAGAAGGGTTGGGGGGCATGCAGGCATCCTAATAGGGTGAGTTAGCATTAAAAGATCCAGGTTGTTTACATTTGATTAGGAGTTAGAATGAATAGTATGAGTGTGGGAAAGGGGTAGGGGGAGGAACATTAGCAGCCCTTTCCCCTCCTTTTACTAACTCTCTTGTTTTTATATCACTCACCCTCTCCCTCCCCTCCCCCCTCCTCCCATCCCTCTTTCCCTCACAGCAAATTTCTTACTTCATCCCACTTTCCACTGCTGTAAAAATAAAAGATGGAACCTATGATTTTCACTAATAAAGACAGAGCATTCCCTTAGCAAAATCATACTTGCTCTGCAGGCTAGGGATGTACCAAGAGTTTTTTTTTTTCATTTTTCATGTGAACTTGATCTGTGCTGTTTGACCATACAGGATAGATATGCTGCTTGCTAAACCAATTGGCAATGACTTTTTAATATTCTCCAATTTTTGAAAGAAGTGTCTTGAATGGATAGAAATATTGAAAGCGTTCTCGTTCACAATTAGTCGAGTTCTATCCTGGCGCGGTGCCTCGACAGGTGATGGTTCGAGTTAAACGATTGAAAGGGCATGTCATGTTTGGACGTAAGAATGAAGCGTAGCAATACAGGGAACACTGATTTTTTTCCCCCAACATTGCTCTAAGCTGCAAAGATCTTCAGGACCATCAATCGTATCATTATTTAAGTCATTAGTCAAAATTCTTACTTTGCTGTAGATGACCCACAAGTTTATCGCGATTTTAAGTCTTGCTGACTGACCTGTGACACACGCTATCGCATTTCGCGTTTCGTGAAATCCTATCCCTGAAAACGATCGACGAACAAACCTTTTTGAATAAGGGAGGGTCGGAAATCGAAGGTCTCCTTAAAAGGCGCGAACTGCCGAGAGTATTACTTATCACTAGCGTCAAGCCCACAATAAGTAACGAAACCGTTATTTGTCTATCGGATGGGATTTCAGTAAACTGATCACATCTACCAACAGTCACTCAGCAAGAGCGAGTCGCACTAAAATTGTACGGTTCATTTGATTTGAAATGAAATCAAATTTGATAATTTGATGATTCTTAACACAAACTTGTTATGCGGAATGAAATCGGAAAGCCTCGACGCGATGTAGTCAACCCATTTTCCCTGGCCGGCTCTCCACGGGTGACTTTGTTACTGCACTCGACTTAGTCCCTCGCAACATCTTATATTCCGTAAACTCTTTCGGAAAATTAACGAAACATGAAGTCAACAGATGAACATTAGCTGACAGCATAGAAAGAGAGGACGTATAACATGGTGCATTTTCAAGAGTTAAAAAGGTATTCAACTTTTTTCTGCGTGGTGTTTAAGTTCAAAATACGTAATGAAAATATGACATAGAGTGATATCTTCTTATTGACTGACAAAGGTTTATTTAGTCTTAATAGATTGGTTGTGTTGTCAAAAGGAACTGGTAAAAAAGATAATAAAAATATAAACTTATAAGAGTGCTATGATACTTTTGTAAACTAAACAAGCGTGAAGTGTTTTTGGGGATTTGAAGTAAGAGGGGGCGGGCTTTTTAAATTTTCTCAGTGAGCCAAGCGTTTTCGTGACTCGTTGCTTTTGAAATCTTCGTAGGAATTAGGGTAAAGTTACCAAGATCTCCCGCCTAGAGGAACTGAATAACATCCAAACAAAATCAAAGTTCAAGGTTGGATTCAAGTGCTCAAACTCATAATCCCAGATCAACATGTTAGTTCTGTGTAGAGCGGTGCTTTATTTCTTTGTCATAGGCGAAATCTGCGGAGGAACTGTTATTAAGCGCGAAGAGGGTAAGTTCACAAAAAAGATTCACTTTTGTTCTCTCAGGTGAACTCAGTCAATTTTTTTTTGTCAGGCGACTAACTTTTCTTTGCTACTGGTGTTAACCATGTAGGTGGAACTTAAACTTAAAGAGTTATATTACTCATGTGAAAAACTTCACTCAAAAACACCTTATTTACTATTTCCCCAATTATTAGGTGAAAGCTTCCCATGGGTAACGGTTGAGGATGTTTATACTTGTGGGAAAATATCGATAACCAGTCCATAAAGCAGGTTATTTTTATCCTGTTTTACCATAAACATTGTAGGTTAAAGACAAATTTAAGACACCGAGGAAAATGCCGTGTCACTTGTTTCGAGAACAAGACCACACTTTTCAAAAAAGCTATAAAGGAAGAATGAAAAATACCCTGTGAACATGGAAACGGTTTTTCTCTCTTTCCCTTCTGAAAATCGTGAAAGTATTTTAACGTAATCCAGATCTGAGGAATCGTGTTCTTCTTGTAGAGCTTTCTAAAAATGGTTGTCTGTTTTTTTCGACTGGAAGGTGTTACTTATGATACTCCATGTCTCCTAACAACAAAATTTCGATCTTAAGCGACTGCAATGATTTATTTTGATGTACAGCACGAGGCACCTTCTCTACGATCGTTAGACTTCCGTATTTCATCGTTATTTCCATGAGTTAAAGTGACGAAAAAATAGGAAGTGAACACTCTCACTAGATTGCCTCGTTTTGTCTCAAAATATATCTTGCCTTCGTCGGCGTCCTCTTCTGTTGCAGAAGTTACTATGTTATATTTCTTCTTATATCACAGGTTGGGAGAATTATTTTGATAGCGAAGATCCAAACTGGCTGCCAGAGGATTATGAAACTCTGTCTGCCTTTGATGAGATTTGGAAAATAAATGAAGGTCGGTGGCCACATATGTTATTTTAGATCTCGAGCGTTATGATACGATCCTCCCTACGAATTAAGTTAATGAAATTAATTAAATTAAAACGTGTTTATCCATGATCGATATTAAGAGTATCTCTCAGGATCAAAGAAAATATAAAAACCGTACTCCAAATGATTTAAATATTAAGTTAATCGCAATAATGGTGAATTTTTTGTTTCAGTATAGATGATGAGCATTTCCTTTTGCTAACACTTTTTCGAGGAACTTTACCTCCGACTGAAAACTGTCAAAATGGTGTTCTTGTTTTCCTTTAAGAACTTATTCGTTTAGCGTTGACTTGAAAACTTACTTAACAGCTCACAACTTGAAGAATTTACCCTACACTTTTCAAGTTTTTTTATTTGAGGTCGTTATTGAAGGTCGTGTACCGGGGTCCATCAAACAAAATTGACCGATCGCATTTATGGGAAACGCACATTGATTTCCATTGAATTGAATTGAGAACCAGAGAAAAGAAATGTAACAAACAAGTGAATGGAATTCGTCGTTCATTTCCTGTATTCGGATTAGCTATTTTTGAGTTGACGACCTTGATGAAAGTCACGCTGTAATCTCCTTTATTCTGTGATGTTTTTGTGCCACATATTCTGAGATTTTAATTCAAATCTGATGAGGTAAATGTGATGAGGTAATTCTTCTAACTTGAAGCTGACTTAATCAGTATCGCAATCAACAAGAGGAATATTGCTTTATATTTAAGCTGAGGACGTTACTGACTTACTAGAAGGTGATATCAAAACTGATCTTGATTTAAAAAATGCCACCGACGAGGAAAAGATTAACGATGCAGTACGAAGCCGACAGTATACATGGAGGACGAAGATCATTCCATACGAAATCTCTCAAGAGCTTGGTAAGATTCAACATTTGTGGAGGAAAATTATACAATTTTGAAACTGAATACTACGAGCTCTGTGATTAGTCGTCTATTTCGTACTGATGCACAACTGACTTCATGGTAAGAGCATATATTTTTGGAAATTATTACATTTTTATGTCATTTGTCATATGTAACTGGACTGAGATTCTAAGAAGAACGGAATTTTATAATTTTCCTGAGGGCAAGTATCGCAACAGCAAAAGCCCCTGTTTGCAACTGATATAGCTCTAACATGTTTTGGACATTTAAAAGTCTTGCTAATGTGTAACCTGCAGATAAAAGTAAAGCTTAAATAATTTATAATTATTAATTAAATAATTAAATAAACATGCATTATCTCCTTATTTTTGCTAACCTCAAGTGTCATCTGGTTACATGGCAAATATTCGAGCTGCAGTTGCTGAGTTTAATAAGTACACTTGCATCAAATGGAAACCAAGAGGAAAAGAGAAATATTGGGTCAGATTCATCAAGGGTAAAGGGTAAATAATTACAACTTCTTAAAAAAATAAAGATTGGATGAACTTTTATATTACTTTACGAGGATTTAAGTAATTGTAAATGTTAGGAACACGGGCTTCGTTAGCCCCTTTTAAGAAATCGCTTTATCATATTCTTGTTGGTATAAGAGATTTAGAGATAGCTCTCGAGTCATAAGGCCCGTCCTAACGGAGCGAATTCCGTTTTCCGTAGCATGAACCAACGAGAATTTTTGTCATCCATTCATCACTGATTTAGCCTGAGTGACCCTGATCTTTGGTCAGTACTCATTTATACTCGTGATTCGAGAAGAGGCACTTTGTGAACGTAAAGTGTCTTGCCCAAAAACATACCACAACGATTCGGCCAGCGCCCGTTACGCGACATCACCATTTCCAGTCCAGCTCGCCATCACTAACCCCATACTTTGTTGGTGCGTGTGTATGTCATTGTTGACTATTGGATACATTGTCAAAATCTTTAATTATCAGATCTTTTCTTGTGTCTGCTCAGGTGTTGGTCACCGGTTGGGTACAGGCGAAAATCACCTCAGTTGATTTCCCTTGGAGTTGGTTGCAACCAAAAAGGCATAATCTGCCACGAAATGATGCATACTCTTGGGTTCTACCACGAACAAGGTCGACCGGACCGAGACAAATACGTGGCAATTTACTGGGAGAATATTCAACCTGGTCAGTGAACTGTTTTGTTTCATATCGCAATGCCTTTTCTCCTTAAAAGTTTGGTTGTACTTCACACTGACATCTTTTCGACGAGTGAGCTGTGGTAACGACGTCTTAAAATTTTTCCACGGATCTTTATGAGCAATTTGTGTCAGTCCTCTCCATCCTTGCTCCTTGTTTCTCCTTCCTCTTCTGTGGTTTCTATCCAACCAAACTAATATTTTGTTGTCATTTACAATCTGATTCAATTTTCACCATGATTAGCCATCTTTGTTCCTTCTTGTATCATTATTTCCTCTTTTGTGTTTTTCTCTCTTCTCGAACCAATATTTTTTTATCTCTTTGGAGCAGGAAGTGCATGAGAAAAAAGACCCGATTAAGCTGTTTCAACTTCTTTAGGGTGTTCATGTACTTGTCATTCTTAGGAAAGGAACACAACTTTAAAAAGCAAAGTGAGGAAGACCTTGATCCTTTGAACGCACCGTACGATACGGGCAGTATCATGCATTATGGCAGGTACACATTCAACAAAAATGGCAGACCAACAATCGAGGTTATCGGTAATCCCTATAAAGTAATTGGACAGCGGTTTGGATTCAGTAAAACAGATATTGAACAGTTAAACGTTCTATATGACTGCTCCAATGATGGTAAGTTTTTAAGACTCTCACTTGCACACATACATCTTACATCAAGGGCGGATCCAGGATTTTTCTCCGGAAGGGGTGCTCTACAAGGAATGATATGACTGACATCTCAGACGAATAGAGGGGTTAATGCACGAAGCGTCAGTGCCAATCTATCATTTTGACGGCGTTTAACATAAATTCTTGAAA